AAAGAGGAACAAGAGGATTACAAGCAGTTGTTCGGATGTGGTTTGGGTGAGCTGCCTTTTACCTACTTAGGAATTCCTATTCATCACCGCAAGCTCACGAATAATGAATGGAAGTGTATTGAGGATCGTTTCGAGAAGAAGCTAAGTTGTTGGAAGGGCAAGCTCATGTCGTATGGAGGCCGTTTAATTCTTATTAATTCGGTGCTCACGAGCATGCCCATGTTCCTTTTGTCCTTCTTTGAAGTCCCAGTTGGAGTTAGGAAACGACTGGACTTCTATCGATCGAGGTTCTTTTGGCAGGGGGAGGAGCCTAAGAGAAAATATCGGTTAGCGAAGTGGGATATCATTTGTAGACCGAAAGACCAAGGGGGTATGGGGATTGAGAATCTCGAAGTCAAGAACCGGTGCCTTCTTAGTAAGTGGTTGTGGAAGTTATCCTCAGGAACTGACGCCATGTGGGCTCAAATCCTGCGTAACAAGTATCTCCAAACCAAAACTTTGGCTCAGGTGTCGGTTAGACCAACTGATTCACCCTTTTGGAAAGGGCTTATGAAAGTGAAGCTTTCATTTTTTTCAGAGGTCAAAGCATTTAGTTGGTAATGGTGCAAGCACGAGATTCTGGGAGGATACTTGGCTTGGAGAGGCTCCCCTAGCAATCCAGTATCCGTCTCTGTATCGTATAGTTCGAAGGCGCGATGCTTTGGTTGCATCGGTCTTCGCCTCGATACCCCTGGATATCCAGTTTAGAAGATCGTTAGTGGGCAATCGTTGGGAAGAGTGGCTGCATCTAGTTAGGAGACTGATGCAGGTACAACTATCTCAACAACCTGATAAATTACGCTGGAATCTCACTAGGTCGGGGGGATTCACGGTTAAATCAATGTATGTTGATGTTATTAATTCCAGCTCGATTCCTACTTCAAAGCATGTGTGGGACGTCAGAGTTCCTTTAAAGATCAAGGTGTTTATGTGGTTTCTACATAAACAGGTGATCTTAACAAAGGATAATCTTATTAAGCGTAATTGGACAGGACCTACTAGGTGTAGTTTCTGTGATCAGGGTGAAACCATTAAACATCTTTTCTTTGACTGCCCACTAGCTAGAATTCTTTGGACGACTATTCAAGTCACTTTCAATATTACCCCACCAAGGTCGGTTAACATGTTGTTTGGGACATGGCTAACTAGGGTAGAGCCCGGGTTAGCAAAACATATTCGCTTGGGGGTTTGCGCTTTTTTGTGGGCGCTTTGGAATTGCAGAAATGACTTCGTCTTTAACAGATCAACAAATATCCATGTTTTGCAGGTTATCTTCCGAGCAACGGCTCTTATCCGTTCCTGGTCGCTACTCACTCCGACGGAGGCCAGGGAGCTTTTGGTTACTGCTGCTATCCGATGGGAGATGGTAGCTCGGGATATATTCAGCCGGTTTGGATGGCGGTCGTGTAACAGGATAGGCAATTAGTTTACTGTCTATTTTGGAGCCAAACGGCTGTGATGTATAAGTGCTTTGGCTAGCTTGTGTATCTAGCCTTCGGGCTCTGTGTGAGCCTTTTCTTACTTTTCTTGTTGACAACCTTGAGACTTGGAGACTTTGTGGACTATTTTATGCTTAATAAGTTGGCCGTATGCATCATGCTGATGCAGAGGCCGGGGAAGCCCCCCTTTTCGAAAAAAAACTAGAAAATGGTGTGACTGAAGAAGGTGATTCCATGCTTTCCAATGGACCTTTCGCCATGCCTTCTTCGATTCCCCAATAAAAGTTCCTGACCATCCTAGTCAAATCATCACACACAGAGAAGGGGGGTTTAAAAACTCCCATAACATACGTATGCTAGGCTTGTGCAACTAATTGATAAGCACCTCAAAACAAGAGCTAGTAATACTTAAAACAACCTGCACTTGTTCCTGCATAGGAACTGGACATGCTTGACCAAATAAGATAGAACATTTGTTATAATTCAGGCATTGCCTGGTAGACGGTCCATATAAATCAAGAGCACTTTTTATGTTTGTAGCGTCATCATGAGAAGCCTAATAAAAAGCATAGTGTCATCCACAAACAACGAGTGTGAGATTTTTGGTGCCCTCCGCCAGATTTTAACCAGGATGATATTGTCAGAATTCATACCATGCTTAAGAATAACAGAGAGTCCATCGGCGGCGAACAAGAATAGAAAGGGTGATAAGGGACCCCCCTCCTTGTCGAAGCCCAAGCGTCGATGCAAATGAATCCAAGAGAGGTCCCCATTTAATTTAACACAAACCTCACCGATGTGACACATGTCATAATTCAATTAATCCATCGATGAGAGAGACCTAGCCTTTTGCACCACTTTCTCCAAGAAATCCCAATCCATCCTAATACCCTATCATAAGCCATAGATAAATCCAACTTGTATGCATAGAAAATCTTAGTTGAATCTCTCTTGCTTTATGTAATGAATGCACTCAAAGGCACCAAGGGCATTGTCAGTGATCAAACTACCTGGAACGAAAGCACTTTGCTCTGAGATAAGATCATCAAGTAAAGGCCTTGGTCTATTCACTAGACACTTGAAGATCACTTTATAAATTACATTACGTAAGCCGATGGGCTTGAAATCATATAATTTATTGTTTTTTTAGTGAGTACTATAGAAGTAGAGTTCACACCTTCAAGCGGAGGAGGTTTTTGTGGAAGTTCAACATCCTCTACAACATCATTCTGTTTTCCCACTACCACCTTGTCTGAGTATCAAACAAGACTTATCTAAATTATGTTTTCGCAAGCATGACGTTTTGTCACCCACCGCTTCTTTCGTACAATCTTAAATACATTACCCTTTTCTCTCCTTTTTTATTCCCCCCTCATATCTATGAATTATTTCATTAGTTTTACCTAAAAACACTTTAACTACCCCATCTTTTATTGATTACGAAATACAATCTTATTTATTTTTGGTAAGGCAATAAGGGTTTACCAAATCGGATAATTTACTTGGCAGGTAAATTATGAGCATGATTTTTTTTTGGTAAATGCTTATTTGCACAACCAGGATAATATGAACAGGTAAATCATGGCTACCGTACAAAATAAAAGATACCAAATATGGAACTAATTAAAAAGTATTAACTATTGCATGCAGAGAAAATGCAATTAGAAGCATGCAGATAGATTACAAAAGGTTTTTCTAATTTACAATCGCCCAAGATTTCATCAATCCGTGAAAGATCTTCTTTTGCTAAACTTCAAGAAAAGGTAATACAACAAGGTGTTTTCCTTTATAGCTTACCAGTCTTGCTGCCTAGTAAAGTACAACAAGGTGAACTTTTAAAAAATTGTATGAACATTTTAGTAAAGAGGAGACAATAATACATTTTGTGTACAGGATGAATAAATTCTTACAAGAAAGTGAACATTACTTTAGGCATATATGGATAGATTTGTAATCTGAACTTGGGGTTGGTTGATTCCCAAATTGCTCGAGATGTATATGTCTTCATTAAAGAAATGACAAAAGGGGAAGGCCCTCTCTAGAGAACAAGATTTTTACATTTCATGTTTGGACTATATTTAGAGTATTTTCCTATAGCACAATGATTTGGATAAAAAATTGCGAAACCAAATTCTTATTGTTATTTTGTTGGGAATTTCAATCTCTCATGAGACCATATTTTTTGGCATTTCCCCTATGTTTATAGAAACAAATACTCCTGCCATTTTCAGGTTTTGCACTTTTTAATTGCGTCAAACTTTTATTTTGTATGCTCATTATTCTATAGTAATTTTTGAGAAAGAGTGCCGACCATTCTCTGATCGAGGGCAATATAGGAAAAAACGCAACATGACACAAGCCCCATGACCACACAAACGATCATCTCGTCCTCCTTCTTCCGCTTCTCTATTTGCTTGTTGTACTATCTTGCTGCCGGGTATAGTACAACAAGGTGGACTTTTAAAAAACTGCATTAACATATTAGTAAAATCAACTGGCGAGACAATAACACATTTTGTATACTAGATGAACAAAGTCTTACAAGAAAGTGAACATTAATTTAAGCATCTATGGATAAATTTGTAAAACCAACTTGGGGTTGGCTAATTCTCAATTGACCGAGATGTATATGTTTTCATTGAAAAATATGACAAAAGGTGAAGGCCCTCTCTAGAGTATAAGATTTATATGTTTCTTTTGTAGGGAATATTTAGAGTACTTTTCTATGGCAGTGATTTGGATCAAACAATTGCGAAACCAAATTCTTATTGATTTTTTCGTTGGGAATTTGAATCTCTCGCGGGACCATATTTGTTTGCATTTCTCCTATTTTTATGGAAACAAATACTCCTGCCATTTTTCAGGTTTTGCACCCCCACCCCCTACTTGCAAAATTTACCTGGCTCAAATTTTATTTTACATTTTCAGTTCTCTGAAAAGGATCTCTGACCATTCTCTGACCCGGGGCAATACATGAAAAAACAAGATCCGGGAGTGCCAGAGCGCAAAAAAA